CCACGCGTCAGGGGCGGAAAATGGCCATGGACCACATGTCAGGGGCGGAAAAATGGCCGTGGACCACGTGTCAGGGGCAGAAAATGGCCGCGGACCACGTGTCGGGCGGAAAAATGGCCGCGGACCGTGTCACGGGAGGGAAAATGGCCGCGGATCCAGTTCGTAACCCGAGGTGGAGTTCGCAAACTGAGGTATATTTTTGCGGCCGGAGTTGGTCGTAACCCGAAAAGTTCGTTAACAGAGGCGTTCGTAACCCGAGGTACCACTGTATCTGCATTGATTGGTGACTGGAAACCTCTGATGGACTTTTTGCATAAACATTTTAAAAAATGAATTTGTGATTTATGGTTTTGATGATTAGGCAGGATAGATTATAGAAAGAAGAGTATAGAAAGAAAAGTAGGATGTAACTTTAGAAAGAGGTTATAATATAATTGTTTTTATAACTTCTGTGAAGAATACTGGAAGCTACTGCATTGTATCTTTTTTCTTTCCTTTCTATTGTTAACTTTTTTTCTTGCCCTTTTTGCTTTCTCTTTGCTTGCTTTCTTTTTCTCTTTTCTTCCTCTCTTTGTATTCGTCGGTATTAGTTTTTCTAACTTTTATGAAGTTTTAAACTTTAGTTAAAAAAAAAAAAGTTTTACTAAAAATTATATTAAAATGTGATCAGACAGAACAAAGGACATACTTGGTATAGCTACAAATGAAAGGCAAAGTAAAAACATACTGGAAGTTCAACATCAGTGTGAACTGGCTCTCAGAACCAGTGAGTAATACAGGTAATTGAGGCTTTTTAAGGGGCATCACTTGACAGATTCTTTCATAAGCCTTCCATGCTTTTTTCATGGTGTTTTTATTTGTATTATTGCTCTTTGTTTTCTCATTTTTTGGTCTTTGATTATAAAACAATAAAGTAAGCACATGCTTAGATACTACTACTACTATTAACACTATACTAGATAAGCAGAAGAAAAAAAAACCATTATAAAAAGCATACTCTTTTTTTTTTTTTAGGTGACCGTCCTTATGTGGTACTCATGGCACGGGTCCACCCTGGTGAGAGCAATGCCAGCTGGGTAATGAAGGGGACTCTGGAGTTCCTCCTCAGTAGCGACCCCCTTGCTGATCTCCTGCGGCAATGCTTTATCTTCAAGATTATTCCCATGCTGAATCCAGATGGAGTCATCAGTGGCCAGTGAGTTGTTATATTTAGATGTTTATTGAATTTTTGGATCACCATAATGACTCTTAGCCAAATTTGGGTTGGTTTGCCATTGGAGTATAGATAACTTTGCTACCTTAAACTGTGGATTCCAATTTCAACATCCATAAATTGAGCATTAGAGTAGGATCTATCAAATAGTAGCTAGTCATTCCTTGAGAATGCCATGGGGTTTTTAATCTTGAGATGGTGTTATCTATCTGGCTAAAAAAACCAGGATGTTACCTGTTCATTTTCATATGTATGGTGAAGTCTTGGAAAGAGAAAATCTACCTTCCATGCATGGCCCATGGAAATAAAGGAAAGAAAAAAAACATTGTACAATATAGAGAAGAGAAGGGAAACCAATTCATGAGATCTCGAGTGAGAAGGGATGAGGATCTAATCTAGTATGTACAGAGAGTGCTCAGGAAAAGAGCTGCCTGCTGTTAGTGGGAATGATGTGCAGAGATGTGCAGGCTGAGTGGGCATCACAAATCACTTCTTCTAATAGGAAGCTTGAGAGGTGATTGCCAAGAGGATTGAGTTATAATGAGGCTATTAAGATGCCTCTCCCCCACCAAATTCCACTGAGAATTGAGCATGGAAGGCTGACATCAGTGGGAAATAGGAAATGGAAATGTGTGAATGGGTGTATAACAACCTGTTAGGGAACGCGAGAAAGGATTTTGCTTCTGACTATTGCTCTCCCTTGGATTTGCTCTGGTATATGAACGTCACTTAGCTCTTGAGGCTACCCATGTTCAACTCCAAGGAAAGGAAGGGTGGGTGACTTGGCATCCTTTGCTAAACCTCCTAAATGAGCGGATATCTGCTTTTCTATCGCTGGCTTTCCAAAACATTGTAACATTTCCAATTTGCAAATAATAATAATAATAAAATCATCATCATCATCATCATCATCATCATCATCATCATCTGGGACTGTAGAATTCAAACAGATAAGCACCTGCCACACAGCACCCCAGACTTAACAATTGTTGATAAGAAAGACAAAAAGTCTGGATAGAGGACATGGCAATACCTGGAGACCGCAGAATAGAAGAGAAAGAACTGGAGAAAATCACAAAATATAAAGACCTGCAAATAGAAGTAGAATGACCGTGGCAAAAGAAAGCAAAAATAATACCAATAGTTATAGGCACCTTGGGTGCAATCCCAAAACATCTGGAGTATCATTGGAGGACCATTGGCATTGACAAAATCACTATCAGTCAGTTGCAAAAGGCAGCTTTACTTGGAACAGCTTCCATCCTGCGACAATCCCTTTAACCCCAACAAACAACATCTGCCTATCCCAGGTCCTTGGGAAGGACTCAATAGGTGGATAAAAATGCCAAATCCATTCTGAGCATCTGGCTGACTAGCGACCAACACTAATAACAGCTATTTGATCAGTGGCTGCAGCAAAATTTCACAAACTGACTATAGGCAGCAGCATGATTCAGTTGCCAAAATTATTCATTGGAAACTTTGCCAGAGGTTTGGATTTGAATGTAGCAAGAACCGCCGGGACCATCCAGTTGAGAAGGTTTTGGAAAATGAGTGGGTTAAGATCTGACGGGACTTTAAGATCCAAACAGACAGGCATCTTGTTCATAGCCTGCCTGATATAACAGTTATTGAAAAGAAGAAAGTCTGGTTCATTGATGTCGCTGTACTGGGTGATGCTAGGGTTAAGGAAAAGCAATTGGAAAAAATTACAAAATATCGGGACTTGCAGATTGCAGATTGAATTTCTACGGAAAAAGAAATTCACTGTTATACCAATCGTGATTGGAGCCTTGGGAGCAATACCTAAAGGACTCCCTTGATATTTGGAAATTTTGAATTTATCAGACCTGAACATCCTAATTTTACCAAACAATACCCTGCTTGGAACTGCCTATATCCTCAGACGCTACCTTAATAATTCTTAGGTCCTTGGTTAGGACTTGAATTATTAAGTTTCTACCAGTCTTTGACTGTGAATCTAGTTGTAGATTACTACTACTACTACTACTACTAATTTTATGTAATTCAATGGTAGTCAAATATCTGTTAATATTACAGAATATTTATGGCCTATCTTATAATCATTTATAGTTGGAATCCGGGAGTAGGCACCACTTATCTATTTGAGGGTTCTCCAAGCTTGAATTTAGAAAGACTGTTCACTGATTAATCCATTTTATGGTAAATTAATTGCCTACCTTTTAACCAATTAATCAGTTATTTAGCAAATTAACATAAATATTACAACAGTTCAGTAAGAGTGGCAGTGTGCATGTATTTAATGAAGACAACGCTTTCTATTGACTGATTAACCTGGGAAAATAGAATCATTAGTTGTTTGGTAAATTATCTTAAAATGCATTGCTTGAGTCAGGAAAGGCTGATTTTTTTTTACATAATGGCATCACTGCTAAAAATGCTTTCATGGAAAGAAATCTTGAATAATTGCTAACTGACAATACCCATTTTTTAAAAAATTAATTATCTGTACTCCTTAGATCAGGTTACTTTATTAAGGCTGCAATCTTACTTGAGAGAAAGCTTCGTTAACTTCATGGGGGCTTGCATGTGATTAAATATGCATAAAACAGCATAATCCTGAATTTCACAGGCTGAAAAAGAGATTTGCTTGTGCAACACCCACATTCTTTTATCCAGGACCAATGTCTGAAACTTCTCTCTTTAATGTGCTGTCAAACATAACTGGTCCCATTTACTCTGTAATGGTCCTGCACTGAATTTAAACCAAGATAATAGTTTCAGTCTTTCCTCCCTTTGTTAAAATGTAAGTAAAAAAGAGATTACCATGTAATTGGTTATCTGCAATTAAAAAAAAAGTATTTTTTAAATAAAACCTTGCATTGTGTAAAATGACATGCTGTGCATTGCAGGGCGCCTTTCCTGAGCAATCTAGCATACAGTTAAAAGATAATAAGTCCCACTGAATTCAGGGAGATTTAGTTCTGAAGAATCACAGGTTGGCAGGTCCTAGCCAATCCTGCTGGATTGCAAAATGCTAAATTGAACAGGGCTTGGTTAATAGGTGGATGGAAGACCATCATAAAAATCTCAGGACTGTAGGTAGACTGGGAAGTCAAAAAACAAGCAATCCCAGAAGGCAGTGGAAAACCACATCTGTCCTGTTGCCAAGAAAATGACACAAATGGGTCTATAAAGTCTCCAGGAATTGAATTCAGCTCAAAGGAGTCTTTATTGCTTTAGCCAAGATGGCATGAATAACATCCCCCAGGTGCATCCATTCTCTCCCATGGAGATTTAGCTTAGAGAAACCCTCTGGAGGGAGCTGATGATTGAAATGCCACAGCAGTTAGGTTTTTTTTTCAAGCCTCTGGACTTAATGGTCTTATCCCTCCGCTTTTTAAAGGATGGCAATACAGATACAAATACACACACACACACACACACACATTACTGCATTTTAAAGTGATAGTAAGGCAAACCTGTTTGCTGTATGTTGCCCCTAGGTTCCTTTCCTGAAGCTCCCAAGCTCACTTTTTCAAAATGGGTCCCCAAACCAGCACTTGCTGCTAAAGTGAACCCCTTTATTTTACTTAATCCCCTAAGCCCCAAAGAATGACATCTCTAATGGTGTAACCCTGTAGCCCATAGAAGCAACAACAGCAATAGCAATAGCGATGATGATGACGACGATGATGTGTTGGTTTTTTGTGTTTTGAGTGCTGGTCAGTGATGGTAATTAGTTACTCATTTTAAAAGTATGATTCCATCTGAAAAAGATTAATGTTGCATCTTTGGCAGGAAATGTCACTATGCATAATGTCACATACCTTATTTCAGTTTCATTTACAATACAGTAATTTGTAAAGTAGGCTATTATCTTTGCCCTCCTAAGATGAAGATTAGAAATGGTGTTTGGGTTTATGGCAGTGGAGGGGTTGGTATGACAGATGCCATTTGCTCTTTACAAAGTGGTGCTGGCTACCAGCTTGGCTGGCTTCAAAAAAGGGTTGGACCAATTCATGGAAGTTGTGGAGATCAATAGCTACTACCCTTGATGGCAGCGTGACTGCCTCTGAAGGCCACATGCTGGGAGACTAGTGGGCTTCCTTGTGCAGTTGTTGGCCACTGTGAGAACAGGCTGCTGGACTACATGGGGAATGTTCTTATGTTCTAATTTTCTTCTCTTGCTGCTTTGAAGCAACAGAAGTTTTGAAGGAAGGATTTGGAATCAGGCTGGTCTTTCCAAGCTCTGATGGAGAAGACACGCCAAAGAGATCTCTGGATTCAGGGGAATAATGGTTAATACCCTGAGTTGGTTATTAAATCAGTCTTTTTGATACTCAAGTACTTTACAAAATTGAAAATTGAAGTAAAATTGCCTTCAGGCTGGCTTGACTCCTAGTAACTTACATGGACACATCCATGCAGTTTTCTTGACATGATACAGAAGTAGTTTGTTGATGCCTTCTTCCAAGATATTCTTTTTTTTTCCCCCTCTCTTCATTTCTCAGTCTAGCCTACAGTCCTGGATATTCCAGATGGTTCCTCAGTCAACTATGAACCAAATCTGACTCTACTTTGCTTTCAATGCTTTTTGCTTTCCTAACCTTTCAGTATCATTGCACCTCATTACAATGGTCAGTAATAGAAGTGTGGAGAAGGGGGATGAGACTGGTTCAGCTGACCTTTCTTGACATTTCTTTGCAACTTTTGGAGAGAGGAGGTTCTTTGAGGATGAAGAGCATTATCTGTGAGTTCTGTTTCTTTATCTCATGGGATATACTATATAAGCAGGGTCCACCACAAAACATTGCAGCATGGAGTGCTCCAGTTCATCTTTTCAGACAGATTGTAAGACCGCCTTTAAAGATAATTCAGTTTCATTTCCCCATCTTTTCTATTCTCCATATCCATGAGTCCATCCTAATTCTCTGTCCACTGAGCTTTACTCATCAATGTGCTCTTGAGATTTTTAAAGTTGTTCTCTTTGAGTTTTC